ACTCCTGTAAACTACTGTGCATCTGTATCATCAAATCTAATTGAAAAGATTGCTTAATGTTGTTGTGAACATCAGCTGCAGCCTAATTACAGCTGCCCAATTACCATAGTCTCTTTCTGGAGCCTAGGAACTAAGGAGTTAGTGAAAGTGAGTGGGGAAAGTAGGTATCCGCAGGAAGAGATGCATTTAAGTGCAGAGTTGGAAATTGTCTGATCAATTCAGTATTGACAAGCCAAAACAGGGAAGACTAAATTTAATTGAGAAAAAAAAAGTTGTGCCTGTAGAAGAATAAAGCAAGAGCTTCCTCTTCCAAGTACATATATAGGCTCTATGGGCTTTTGCAGTACAGATAGGGAACAACCTCTCTACATCTGGAGCCATGTGCTGTCTTCAGGGTTTCCTTTGGCTTTCCTGACTTCAAAAGGATGCAGATTTTGTTTTACTGGAGTGCTAGCATGCATTATGAACACAGGACTGAGCACATGACTGCATTCATTTAGTAAGAAGGTAAGCTCTGCTATGCATAATAATTGTTAGAGGAGATTGTTGTTGTGTTTTGTTTGTTGGGTTGTTTTATTATTTTTAAAATTCATTTACAATTAATCAAATAGCAGAATAGCAAATGACTCACAGCAGTGCCAAGCTGCTTCTCTCATCGGTGAGCTTTTGTGTCCCTGGAAGTTTCTGGTGATGGTTCTCTAGATTTCTTGGGGTGGTGCTCCTGACTTTTGTGCAGATGGGGTGGATGTAACAGGTACAAAGGCTTGAATTCAGTCATGAGACTTTAATGTGGCATAAACTAACATTTTGCTTCTTTATCTGGAGCCTCCTTTCAAGAAATGACTTGAAGCCACGTATCTACGTTAATTTTTCCGTGCTAACAGTAATTTTATGCACCTAGGTGGTAGTTATTCCTGTAAGAATTGTATGCGCTTTTCTTGTAAATGCAAAGTAGATGTGTATTTTTGAATGGTGAATCTCTAGACTTGCACTAATATCTCTGATAGCTTGGGGCTGCCATTCAATACCTGACAAAAAAACAGCTCTGCCTCAAATTGCAACAATAAAAAACCTTGTTCCTATTTACATTGTGAATACCTGTTCCTACCAAGCAGCATATAACTGTAACCAGATGTCTCGGAAATTCAAAAGAAGTAATAACTTCTGAAATCATAAGCTATCTGCTGAAATGAGCTGGATAACATTCAACATTCAAGATGGGAGGGAACCCTCCTCCTTGGATATGCTAGGATGCTATTACTGGTTTTGTTGTTGTTATTAAGTAATGAGGTACTCTGAATAGAAGCTCTCTGACCTAATGAGTTATTTCAAAACCAAAGTTTTTTTGTAGATTGAGTATCACAGGAAAGCAATCTCTAGCCAGGCTTTAAACCCAAGATTACTTATTCCAGTATACTATTTAACATGAGATACTGGTTTATGCTACCTTGAAATGTCAGATGACAAAAAAATCAAGGCAGGAAGCTCAAAAACTCAAGTTCATTCCAACCTTACTTCTTTTTATTGAGATAGAGGGTAATTCGTGCATATCCTCAGTACTTAGGATATACCAATGCATACATTAAGTATCTGTGGTTAAGAGAACAGAAATTTTGCACTTTGATTTAGCCTACGCTTACAGAAGCTACACATACTTCCAGGGGTTAATTTGTGTTCTATGAGGTAGCCCTCATCTCTATGCTTGATTGATTATAAAGCAATTTTTAAAATATACTATTCTGAACATCTCTATTACAATGGGTTCATATTTACCACATGCTAATCTGTGTTATGAAAATTCTGAACACCCGTTGCTAGAAGAGAGGAATTTTTGCCCATCAGTATGACTGGTGTTCTTTAGAGAGGGATAGGAGTGTAATAGGTGTGTTTGTGGCATTTTTCTTTGTAACATCGTGGTTATGTCCTCTCCTCTAGCCCCTAAAGGGCACAGAAGTTCCCAAGAGTCATGAGCTGGTCATTAGGTCATTCAGAAGCAATTTGCTTGGTTCTTTTGATTTGTTACTGATCTGATGCAGATCTGACATGGCCTGTGTAGTTAAGGAGGATTGCTGAGCACATTAGCGTGGTAATATGAAAAATGGTGACACGCTGATTGCAGCCTTTGTGGTCTAATGATGCCCTCAGCACATAAATTCTTGAGAGGTGTTACAAAGTATAATTGGAGGAAATGAATGTGTTTTCAAGCGTCAAAACTCAAGACCACTTAGTTATCAGTAACAGAAGGGAATAAAAAACAGGAGGCAAAACAAGTATCTCCAATAGGGGTATCAGGAGATAAATGGAAGAGTTGCTACAGCTGAAGACAAAAAGACTGCATGTGTGAAAGATGTTTCAAAAGCTGTCAGGGCATCTCAACTCTACTGCTGCAACTTTCATAACCTGTTCCATCTAAACTTTTCCTTTCTATTCAGGTTTTTCAGCTGACTCGTCTTTTCACTGAGGAATGATTTTTTTCTTTTGTTTTCCTTTTGGAAATACCAAAGAAAATACCTGTGTCAAGATCATGAGTAAGTTACATAAAGGGGAGGAGGAGCCAAGACAAGGGAAGCAAAGGTGTAACAAAACATGAGTTATATTAGGAGCAGAGCAGAGGGAGCGTGGAAGGGGAGAAGGGTGGGGTCTGTGCAGTGGCCGTTCTCGCACGGGACTTGGAACAGGCTGTCTGGGCAACAGCACCTCGTAGGGCCGTGGCTGTCAGAGACAGGCGCCGGCAGCCGGGCCGGGCCCGGCCCCGGGCGGGGGGCGCCGAAGGATCCGCTCGCCGCAGGGCCGGGAAGCCCTAATGCGGGGCTCCTCCGGCCTAGTTCCTCGTTGGCCGACTTGCCTTGTCGCCCTTCTCCTCCTCCCGGCGGCTTCCTGCCGCCGCGGCCGCCTCTCCTCGCACGCACCGCTCCCCCGCCCGCCGCTTCCCGTTCCCCCGTGCCCGGGCGACCCTCCTCGGCGGGGCGGGATGTAGCGCCGCAGCCCCGTCGGGCCACCTCTCCTCGGGGCCCGGCACCCCGGCGGCTCCCCGGCACCGCCGCCGGCGTCGCCGCGGTGCTTTCGGTTCTGGCGGGTCCCGCTCCCGGCCGCCGTGCCTTACCGCGGGTGCGCCGATCTCCTCCGTCCTGCCGCCTTCCCCGGAGGGCCCGGCAGCGGGCTCCGCCCTCGCCGCCCCCTGCGGAGCGCCCCGGCCCCGCGGCAGCGGGAGGAGGGCCCGACCCGGCCCACGCCTTCTCGGAGCACAGGAGGTGCCTGGGCTCGTCCGAGGGCACCGCGGAGCTGCCGCTGCTCCGGAGGCTGTGCAGTCACTCGGGCCGTGCGACGCAACGCGCGCCCTCCCACCGGGAGAGAAGGGCGGGAGCCCTGCCCGTCCTAGCGCCGCCGCCTGGGTGAGCCCGGTGCGCAGTGTGAATGGTGACAACCTGGCCACGGTACCGAGCCCGACAGCAGCTGGGTGCGTGTCGGAAACGCCTTTCGGTGTTGGGATTTAGTGCTGAAGAGGTGTGGGGAGGTTTGTTCGGGAAGGGTGGAGGCAGGAGTTTGTCAACAGGGTAACTGTAACACGTGCCAGTCCAGGGGACAGCTGGCGGAAATAGATAACCTAAAAGGACCGACAAATACCGTCTAGTCCATTCTCCTTGGGAGGTTGCTAACACAGGTGCTTTACATAAGACCGATGGCTTTGCTATTCTTCCAGTGAAATGAAGGTGATGATAAGTGTCTACCCTCTTTGCCGTGGTCTTTCCCATTGTGGGGAACTGTTGTGCTCCCCACTGTACTTTGCAGTGGAGTTCACGGTTCAGTATTACCAGGCACTACCAGAAAAACACCAGATCAGCCTGGGATGGTATTAGCAGCCCACAAATTGTGTCCTTCATTTCTCCCTGTGATGGTCAGCAACGTAGTATCTGAACTCCTAAACCATCCATGTACCCCCCTCTGCTTTTCCAGGAGAAGACATGGTCTGTTTTGTGTCTTCTGATGGCCAGCACGTGCATCTGCCAGGGGCAGGGGACTCCTGCCTGCCAGCTTCCTGAAAGGTGTCTCTTTGGAAAAACAGAAAGGACACAGTTGGATGTGGGCAGCTGTGGTTTTGGAGAGGTAGAATAACCTTGGTGATCACTTTCGAAATGAAGTTTTCTCTCTCAGTATCGAGACTGCACTGTGTTGGGCAAACTTAATAAATGGCTTCTATTCAAGATCTCTCCAAAAAAAAAAAAAAGCTGAGTGCAATCATTTCCCCTCAAAAAGAAAAAAAAGTTGGCAGTGGAACTGGCATATGCCGTTTTCCACTGATTCTTGATCAGCTGGTATTGAGACAGGAGTTTAATGCTCTGACAGCTCCAGATGCAAGGGCTGATCACACCTACTGTAATGAGGAGACTCAGGATGGAATCCCAGATTGCCAAACTAAGCTCATTGCAGTTTGTATACAGCCATTTCACGTACATTCACATTGTGAGGTATCACAAGGAGAGTGTTACTGAACCTGCAGTCCAGAGACACTGGGACATTTGTCAGCTAAATAAAGCAAATACAAATACAGATGTGGTATCTCTGGTGGGCCAATCATGCAGCTTTGGTCTTTTGCAATCCCAAACATTACAGAAATCTTTTGATAACATTTAACTTCTGAGGGTTTTTTCTTGTTTTGGTTTTGCTTGTTTTTTCTGCTTTTGAGCTTTGCATTGTGTATGGGGCTGAAGGCAAGGAGAAAGATGGCTGAATTTTTAAGAATTGTGTGGTTAAAGAGTTTGCATTCTCATTCAGTGGTGTTTTGCCAAGCAGCAAAACTAGGCAAAAATTTACATGAGCAGGTCTTCAATTTTAGTATTAATGAAAATTAAATAAGGCCATTAGTTCTCTTTTTACTTTAACTGAAACTTGCACTAATCTCAACTAAACTTTTACATACTTTATACTAAAAATCTCAGCCATCTATTAAAACTTATAGTAAAGAAAATATAAATACATAAAATGCTCAAAAAACCCCCAGGTGTTTGACATATAGCTGATTTTATTGCCAGCAGGATGAAACTTGCAGGTTTCATTGCATCACTGGAAAAACTGCAAGGTCTTCTGTCACCTTTACTGAGTTTTCTTTAGAGATCTGAAGAGAAAAAGATTTTGAAGGGCTCTGGAATAATGATTGAGTGGGCAATAAGACAGAAAGTGAAGTTCAGGTTATTACAGGGGTACACATGAGAAAAAAATTTACCCTAAATTGATGTATAAAATAATGGGCCTTGAGCTGATCATTACCACTGATGGCCAAGTTGTAGGGTTACAAGAGATGGAAACATTAGCTAAAGCAAATCATGTTTCAGAGATGATTATAAAAGGAGCAAAGAAAGTCATGGAGTTGACTCTGCATGTGCCTCTGGTCCCCTCTTCTCAGTAATGGGATAGTGAGACTGGAGGTGTTCAGAGAAGAACAAGGGTGACCAAAGGCCAATGACTTCTCTTGGAAGAACAACTGAGCAGGACAGGACTCCTTGGCCTGGGAGGAGATTATTTAGGAGTGGAGGTGATGCACATGTACAAAACTCTGAGCAGTGTGTAAAAGAACAGATGGGACTGATCATTACTGTTGACTGGGAGGAACCAAACAAAGGTACTGGGAACCAGGTGCTTCACCCTCCCAGGGCTCCCTCCCTACTCCAATGCTTCATGCAAGGAAAAACTCACTTGCTGAACTTTGCCAAAATATATTGGCTGCTTGAAGTTGACATGAATTCAAGAGAATGCTAAACAAAATTCAGAGCAGAGATCTATTATTTGGCTTGTAAATATAGAGAAAATGTATGTACCTCAGGAAATCCCCCAAACTAAATGTAGTTAGCACCCAGGTCGGTATTCATGGGAAGTGCTTCCTATTCCTGGCCTATAATCACTGTGAAGAAAAAACTCAGGGCTGCAGGATCCTTGTTCTGACCTAGCACAGCCACTGTGGATACTTAGATTACATATATCCAGGCTAATACAAGCGCCTAATGCTACAATGTGTTTGGGATCTAGCATGTATCTGCCAAATAGTGTCAAGAAGTGTATCCTCAATATACAGGTCAGTCTTTATTAGATTCTTTATCTAACAGTTAAACCCACTAATCTCTGCAATTGATCCAAAGCAGTAACATTGGGTTTGACAGTTGCAACTTCTGCTTTCACCTCAATTTCCTTGTTTCTTGAAAAGTCTAGTAACTGTACACAGTGAACATGATGATTCCTCTCCTATGCAATTTCAATATTTGAGTTTGTCCTCCACTTTCTCATCAGGTAAGTTGTTTACCTTAAGTCTTTCTGGCATGAATCTGCTTTCTCCACAACTTAGATGTATAACGCTTTCCCCCTTAATAACTTTCACTTTCCTTTTCCTGTAACAGAGCTATTGAGCCAAAGCAAATTTCCTGCTTGTGTAACCTAAAGACTTTGTCTCACACACCCTGAAGCAGACATCTACAACGGCTTTGGGCAGCACTGCTTCCCAGGGAATGTCTCTGCAGGAGGTGACCCTTCAGTTCATA